ACATATGACACCAAAATAGCCCACCTCATCTTCCACCTCACAGCTGGTAGCCCCTAGGACAGTCAGGTCCCCAAAGATTGCTACAGACAGGCTATAGAGCACACCACCAAAGTGAGATACTTTAGAGCCTGCTAAATTCACATCCTTTTCTCAATTGCACATGGTGCCTCTGAGAGGAGCTCAAGAAAGGCTCCAGGAGTTCTCCTCACATCACAGATCACTCAGCCGAATTGCTTTAAGGTGGTCCCTTCACATCCTTTCTATAACTGCAGCTAAATGCACACAGGTAAGTCCCAGCAGCTGCCACCAGCTTCAGGTCTGGAAGGAATTAAATTACAGCGGGCTTAAATTTGGTTTTGTTTTTCCAAGTTTTCAGAAAAGGCAATGTAGCTGAAGTTGGGAAGGGCATAAAATACATTGAGGTAACACTGGCATTAATGTTTTATTGCCAGTGGAACTGACTTCAGTATGCACTACAAAATATACGTAGCTCTGTGGGAGAGACTTTTTTGGTTTATAAACTACAAAGTTTATTCAGCTTGTAGTCTTAATTCTTGTTTGAACACTAGTCACAAACACTGACTGAATTCCAGCTGTCTTGTCCAGTTGGCAAGACTGCTACTTAGGAAAGGACTTTTACTTAAAAGGTGAGCAAATTTAACGAAGCTATCACCGGGAAATGCAGAACCATGCTACACCATTCATTTTCCTAATGCAATGGCACGTCTTGATAGAAATATAGAATGCTAAAACAATTACTAGTATGGAAGTGGAAAATGCTAAAGCAATGACCTTTTTTAGACATGGTCAAACCCCATCAAATTCCAAGGGGTCAAGAATTCACTTGTTTTATATTCACAGTTGTATTTCCCAAACAGAAGCAGGAAAATATATTAAGGGAGAGGAGCCTGAGGGCAGATCAACTCCTTGCATTTTTCTCATCATCTTCCTGCAGTTGCTTTCTCTCAGAAGTCTGACCTTATTTCTCTTTTTTTCCAGAACGACTTTTAAGAGATTTATCACAAAAATATTTGAATACAAGTGAGCACTTGATTTTATTTTTGTTTGATTAATATTGACAGCTGTCCTGCTCTTATTTTTCCCCATATGGCTGCTGTAGTTGTTTGTTTTGGGGGGTTGGTGGTGGTTGTTTTTGTTTACTTCCCCTCCCTCTCCTGCCACAGCTTACAGGAAATTCCTCTTTTCCTCCAGGTCATCTGCTAATCTTCTCTATTCTGCTTTCACTTGCAGTCTTCTCCCTTTCATCTTCTTATTCCTGCCCTCTCTGACCTACCTTGGAAACAAACTCCTGTTGTATCTCTTCATAACATCCAAAAGTTGTTCTACTCCCCACCCTACATTGTTTGCGCTGAACATTCAAATTCTGTACTTGGATTTTAAGACAGTTGCCTTCTGCTGGTGGAATTGAATGGTAATCAAATCAGAATTAATCTAGGTTTGCACAGGTTTAAATAGCTCACTTAACCCCAGCAGTCTTTTGGAAGTCCAGGCAGTACACTCAGCCAGATGTCAAACTGCAGCATCTCTGCAGGCAATCACAGCCGGGAAGCCCTGACCCAGATGGATCCCAAAAACTAGGACAGCGCCAGTTCAAATGAACTAAATCTATACACAACTGTCTAAAACACATTCCATTCATATTTTGGGCCTCAGAATATTTGAAAGCGTGTTGAAGTATACCACCTCGTTTCACTTCAGCTCTTAAAGCAAAATCACTCGGGCAGCAACTGATTTTTAAAACAGTCGGGCTGGCCCAAGGCTGAACACGCCATGTTCATCTTCAGGGAACCACTGCTGACAAGAAGGGGAAGGGAAAAATCAACAAACACATGACGAAAGACCCCATACATAATTTAAACCAGAAGAGAACTAAAATAAAGGTCAGATCCCTCTGTAACACTGCTGAGCTGTTCTTCAACCTGTATTGAATTTGGGAACTAAAGACAAAGAGAAGCTCAATTTTGTTAGTTCTCCAGAGATGCTGCTTTGTTTAGTATTTTGAACATTGACAAAAATTACTTACCATGAACTGTACTCACTGTACAGATTTAAACAAATACAAAAATCTGTAATATCACAAGTTGGTCATCAACCTTGTAACCCATGCTGCTAACACATAGGTCTTTGGATTCATGAGATCAGCTTCCTTCTTCTGGGATCCTTCACTAGGAGCAACTGCAAAAAGAGCTAATCTTCCATCTATAAGATTATTTCTAACAAATGCATTAACCACTTTATGCAGAAATATATCTACCTGTATCAACAGTTAACATGGACAGATGAAAAGCTGATAAAGGATGCACTATAATACAAAAAGACAATAATATTTTGACATTTATTACATTACTGTTTAACTGATATGAATATAAAACTCCCTTTCAAAATAGAAATGTCTGAGAAATCACAAGAATAAAGAGCCTTTAAATACATTTTATAAAACACTGTATTATATAGACACCTAGAAGGAAAAAATGTTATGTAAAAAAACCAAAGTAGAATAAATACTTTTATCAGATAAACCATTTTTACACATAAAAAAATGTTAGGTTTTTAAGAAAAAAATATTTACTTTTCTGAAAATAACAACTTTCACTTTGATTCTACATTTATAAATCAGATGAACATGGAAAGAACTATTAAATATTAGTTTATTACTTGCCAAAGGAAAAAAAAACATAGAAAAAACTGTATTCACTAGGATGATCATTTTGAATCCCTACTGTGCATGCTCTGCAATCATAGTTCAAATAAGGTAAAGTAAAAAAATCAGATCTGTAGAGCAGGCGATGAACAGTTACTTTGCTGACTCATCCCAGATGTATACACAGGTTCCAGCGAAGTGAGCACCCATGATTGAAGACAGCTGTGACAGAGGGGAGGGCAACGGCCCAAAACCCCTTGTTACAGTCACCTCTTCGATCAACTTGCTTCTAAATCACTGCCTGCTGTCAATCAAAGACTGCAATTACCACACCATATGGGTTAAGAGACTTCGTTCCCAAATCTTCCAGCAGATGTCCTCACAAGGCAGTTGTGTCAGGGTGTTTAGAGATGTCACCATTTAAAAAAGACAGAGATGGGAAGGAAAATAGACTTAAAATAAGGGTGATATAAATATATAGATACATCAATTCAAAGTATGTCATTTATTCTCAAATGCCAAACTTAAATACATAGGCAACATGTTAAAAAATAAGGCTGTGATCTTAAAAACCAACAAAAAAAACCCCCCAAAATAACTAGCACATCTGTTTCTATTTTGTTAGGTAATTCTTATACCTCAGTTATAAACAGAACAGAAGGTTAAAAAAATGATAGTGAAAAGCATGAGCAGACGTTTCACCTGGAAAACAGCATAAAGCCTCTAATTCTGTCCTTCTCTGTTTCATGTTAAAGCTGACACTACTTTTATTGTGTGCACAGAGCTGATGTACAGCTTTCTGCACTACTCCCTAATGGCAATGACACACAAACATTGTCACGAAGTTGGTATTCTTGGAAGCATTAAATCCCTCTGGTATTTCAGGGCGACTGAAAAAGAACAATATTCTTAAAATAGTGAGCCTCATCATTACTGCCACAAGTAGAAAGTTTTGATACCACATTAGAAATATTTGACTTGTCCTTTTATGCAGTGAATAATGCATCCACAGTGAACTATCCACAGACAGCTATAAGAGAACAATTCAGTCATGTACTGGTCTACAAACGCAAAGCTGGCATTCTTTACGCAGGCCTATGAGCCCAGTATCACCAGTATCCCAGTATCTCAATACCTGCTTTAATGCAGATGTTCACGGCTTCAGACATGAGTGGTTTCATCAGGGAAAAATGAAATGAAGAAGATGAGAATCACTGACTGTTATTCAAGAGCAGACACAGAAATAAGTGCTGATACTTGAGGCTTATTGGGGGACCTTGCCAACTGGGACATGTCAGTCACTACATTTTGACTGGTGGAAAGACCTCGAGACTGTCCCAGCTTCAGGAAAATGCTGGGAAGGTGGTGTCTGCAACAGCTCGGACAGATTTGTCTGTCAGAGGTCTTTCGGTGGACCTATTACAGCACTTAAGAGACAGAAAGCGTTGCTATGTTCTACACACTGAATTAGGTCAAAGCTCGCATCATCAATTATAGAAACGCATTGCTTATGAAGTCTTAGAGGAGTAGGGTTTTTGTCAGTATCTTGTCTGAAGCTACAATAGCATGGGTAACTGATTTTCTGCAGGTGACTGTCCTCAATTTCAACAACAAAAGTAAAACCAGAAAGATTTTTAGCTTGCTGTCAGTGAATGACCACAGTGAACAATATAAAAGTGTTGCATTTCTCAACTGGTGAACACTTTCATGCTATAGAAGCATCAGATAAAGCACATTCTGCACTTAGTTTGTCCTGAGAAAAGAAGGATACCATGCTTTTCAGGATGTGGAACCTGGAAATACAGTATTAAAGCTATCACACTTTCTCAGCTTAGCTAAGGTTCTCATCAGCTATCATAAAAAATAATTCTAAAAATCTCTTTAACCTTTTTGCCATGCTTTACTTAAACAACAACAAAAAAGCACGGAGAAATTCTGTGAAATCAAGATTTCCATTTAAAACTAGTACTAAAGGACAAATACAAATGAAGGATGATGGTTGGGGGCAGCTACAGTCCATTGTTAACCATTTACGATAAATTCACTGAGCCATCTGACTTTGCTTGAACCTTAAGTCCCTCACCCTTTATCCATATAAAGAACACAAAATTACAGTCCAAGCAGAGGCTAAGTCTACTGTTTCCAAATAAAGACTTCTTAAGGGAACAAGTGCACATTTCAAATAAAACCATAAAAGATGCTGAAGCAATCCTAATTATAACCAGCTCTTCCTCCATAGCTCTGGTTTCATTACGTAAACATATTCCAGTCAAATCTTCACAAACTATGTCAGGAAGTCATGATTTCTCCCTCTTTCCCCAGGATAACTGTGCAAGGATAACTGTACACATGTCCAAGAAATAGAGGATGTAATTTTATTGGAGGTCCACAGGTAACTGTATCACATTAGGGAGTGGAAGAATCTTGTGGTATGGCACAACACGATACCTCACTCTAAACACTTAAACAGAAGGTTAAATGATATGCAACATGATCAAATCAGTAATTCTCCATCTTCTAGGCACCACTGATTAATTTAAAATAAACTTTAATAAATTGAAAAAATAATATAGTCCATTAATTTGTTTGTTGCACTGTCTTTAAATGAAACAGCACTTTGAAAGTCACAAATAAAAAAGCAGCACTTTCTCTTAATACCAACACCACTGTAACACATACTGTAGCGTGGCATGCAAATCCATTATCTGCAGTCTTTTTTTTTTTTTGTATTAACAAATGGAATGGTAATCTTTTATCTCAAATATTAGTAGCATAACATGTAAGTGCAGATCATTCTGGCCACAAGTGTGGTAAGCCTTAACAAGTGTGTATTACAAGAGCATAGAACACAGAGCATGACACTCACATCCAAGAATCTCTCTTTTGTACTGTACATGGTGTTTGTTACAGGCTGACTTCCAACTTGCTGTACCTAAGCTTCAGGAAACAAGATTATTGACCATTTCTGGTTTTGCTTAAAAATAAAATGCAGTCACCATCAAAGCATAACCATTAACAGCCTGGCCAAAAAAATGCCACAGCTCCATTGAAAAAATAACTTGTCTTTTTAGTAGTAGATTCCATTATGTGATGAAGTTTCCATTATAGGCATGTTACGAAGTCTTACAGTGGTACTGCAGCGTCATTCCTGTTAGGTAGAGATTTGTGTAGACACCAATAAACGGTGCAACGTTCAAAAAAGCTGTTCAAACTGAGCTAAGCTTCACGAGACCACGTACTGAGTCTTCATGCAATGAATCCTGGCTGGCTAGACTCAGGACGTGCATTGTATGGCTGTGTGCAATAGGACTTCCGCTTGACAGCATCCCAGGGGGTGATGGAGCTTCTTCAGGAGTGAGAAACTGATGACCTTCGTGGTCCTCTTTTAATGGTATCATGTCTGTCAAACCTGAATCTGATGTGAGATTTGGCATAGAAGATGGTGGTGTTGGTTGCCCTAGAGTTAGAGTTGCACAAGGCCCAGTGATAGTAGTCTTTCCTGGTAAAGGTAGCTCTTCACTAGTTATGCTTGGCTCACTCTGTAGTAGGGGGGTGGCAGCAGCCTGCAAAACGAATTTAGTGCTCTGAATGCACTGATCTTGGTCACACTGTAGAATGGAAGGGTGTCAAAATCATATAAGGCAAACAAAACAGAGAAAAAAAGGGAGAATATGAACAAAAAGATATGGAAAATAATGGGATATGAAGAGAAAAAAGAAAGCCATTAGTATCATTCCATGGTTAGCCACCCAAAAATCCCATTGCATGCTGCCCTGGGGGAAAAAAAAAGCATGCATAATTGAGCCAGAGCCTTGGATTACTATCACAGTAAATTATGATAAACATTTACAATGTTCACTTAAGGGTTTTACTCTAAAATAGTATTTTGAGTACTGTAATTCAAATACTTTGCTAACTCTTGTTTGGTGCCTAGCTGCACACTCACTCCATGTGCATCTACCTGCATCGGGCACCTCAGAACCTCCTTGATTGCAGGTGAAGTGAATCACTTCCACACTACTCATTTTAGCCTAGAGTACAGAGCAGTTCAGAGAGGCCAAAAGGCACAATCCAAGCATCTTTCAAAGTTCAAAAACCCTAGCCAACTGTCTTTTTTAAAATGGTCCTCACATGTAGGCATTAAGGTTCTACAGAAGTCTTCCAGAACAAGAATTCCTTTAATGCAGGTGATTTTAAAAAGATAGAGCTGGCAATAGTCTCTATGAGCAAAAATTTCCCCCCTCCCAAATTAATGCATTACATATAATATTATATATATTATTATATTTCTATATACACTCTATATACTATACTCAATATTCTAGAGGATGTGTAAAAATTAGACAGCATTAGAGATGCAATTATTTGATATAAATTTTTATGATTTTTAGGCTGTTTCTTGATTAATTTGATCTTGGCAATCAAGGTACAAAACACAGGTTTCCTGGCAAACACTTTCACAATAACAAGCCAAATCCAGCAGTATATAAATCCAACTAAGCTCAGTGAGTATTACCAGGAAGATTTTTGGCTCTGCATTACTCCTACGAACTGCTTATGCAAAATTATCATTCATTCCTTGAGATGACAAGACATGTAGGTGTTTCAATAACGTCCAGCCAGCAAAGTGGGTAGTACATCTACTGTCAAATGAGGTTTCTTTAACGCAAACTGGCGTGATTTTTGAGAGCTTCCCAGGACAACATATATTTAATTTATAGCCTGATCAGTTATAACATCTGCAGATTTTCAAAATTCTGTTAGATTCATTTGCCATACTACTGTTCTGCTGTGCAAGAGAAACACTACAGTCAACAAATAACTATAAATTGAATGTAGCGAAGAAAATTTGGAAGCAAGCAAGCAGAATGCTAAAAAATATATATCCAGAGGTAAAGCATGCCTCTTCACTGTTGTTATTTCAATGATTCTGTTCAGTATTTTCTACTTTACAAATAACTTCTTCGATCTATATCAAATTACTAAAAGTCATTACAAATCCAACATCTGATCAAGATATTCCTAATCATATTATAATCAAATATATTCCTAATATTCCTAACATTTCAGTAATTTCCTAAAATGCCCAAAGTTTAACAAGCCACTGTGATATACTCTATGCAAAATAATGGAAAGACTTTTGCTTGCTTTGTTGTATGATGAAAACCATCACTATGAAGGCTTCCTCCACTATTTTCAGGTCCTCCAGTTGCACCAATAAATAGCTTAGTGATGGATGCACATTACATTCAGAAAGTGTGCAAGCAGACTACTTGGTCACCGTAGATAGGTATTATCTTAAACATGTCTAAGCGGCTTGGGACTCTCAGATCAACTACTTTTTGAAGGCAGAATTCCGATCCCTACTCAATTACGTTATTTCCAACACTTATGCTTTCAGAAAGAGAAATGCACTGACTTCCTGTTACATAAATTAAGTTCATATATGCTGCAAGGAATTTCTACCCCCCAAAATGATAAAAAGCCCCTGCCAAGCAACGGAAGTGGTCCCATAACATTTCAGAAGGATTACTCGCAGGCTTAGAGCCAAAACTTTGCATAAGTACCTTACTAAGAAGAAAACTGTCAGCATCTTTTAAAGTCAAGCTTTCAATTAGTAATTCAGTGGGAATAACTCATTCTTGATTAATATACGGTTATTCACGCCTGCTTATTTCAATTAAACTATAGCCTTCAACCAACTTTACTATGCAGGCCTTAAAAATCTGTTAACTGAATTTTCAAACTTCAAAAAGAGCAACAAAATCCATCCTCTCTGAAAGGCAGAAGCCAAAGAGTGTGTTAAATAACAGAGGAATGCCTATAACCACTGGGGTACACTGAAAATAAATGTTAGCAGCCGACTTACTGCTTTAGCAAAGCTTCAGCACTGATCATGAAAAGGAAATCATTAAAGTGTTCCAAGCAATACAAGTACAACCGATTGAAATAAGAAGAAGGTAATTTACTTGAACACACTGTGTATAGTCTGAATTAATTTTCTTCTTACTGAACTCTGCTGTATTACATAGACTCACAGAATGGTTTGGGTTGGAATGGACCTTAAAGATCATCCAGTCCAACCCTGCTGCCATGGGCAGGGACAACTCCCATCAGACCAGGTTGCTCAAAGCCCCATCCAACCTGACCTTGAACACTTCCAGGGAGTGGAAGTTTCAACTGAATCAATATTGAAAAGATAAAGTAGCCTCATAAAGCTCCATTAAACAGTGTCATAAAACTTTTTCAGGTGCTGTATATCTCTTCTTCATCTTCCACACACTTGTCACTTCCTTAAAGTCTCTCCTCTTATTCAGGAACACTTCATGTTTTCTTTTTTTGTTCTATTTAACAGTGACCAACGTGAAATATCTTAGGAAAATGCAGGCTGTAAATAGCTTTCAAAAGTGACTAGAGTGGGGTTTATACTAGAAAAGGTAGCTGTGTTCAATGAAGCTCTCAAAAACATCTGATAAAACCAACAGATACTATAACAGGAAGACTATTTTTGAGTCTAAACAGCCAACACAAAACTAAACAAGGAAGTAAGATTTGTTTATAGGGCTGGCATGGTGGTCTTTCCTTGATTCTATATGTTATTATTAACTAAATGAAATTTAGGGTCCAAAATCTTAACAGCTATTAATCACATGAATTATTAAATGCTGGCATTTCAAATTAAATAAAAAAGCCTATGATTGTAACAAAAAGCCAAGCACTTAAATCTACATAGCTAAAAATGTACTGTAGAAATTATTACACCAGTATTTTCTTACTTCAGATCTACTAATTTTATTTTCCACTTACAAATTCCACTGTTTCAGAGGAACAGCATCTTTTGAACGTGACAAGTTTAATGAGTTCTACAAGCACAAAATTTCAATTGTATATGTGCATAGAAATTTTTAGCCATCTTTGCTTTTATTCTCACATCAAAAGGCACAACTTAAAGCAAATTAGACAAAACCTAAAATTGTGTTTATTTCACAAGTAATAAATACAAATAACTAAGGAAACAATATTTTTGATCTTTTTTCCTGAAGAAAATCTGATTTTTTTCTAAGCTCCACAAAACATACATGTTAACATAGCTGTTGTATATGGCAATATATTTTTCACATTTCTAATGCCAAAGCCAGAGATTATATACTTTGAATTTAAAATTAACTTTGTTAAAAATGTTCTAAACACTAGTAACATTAAAGAATTGTTGCGGTTCTCAGAAGATGGAGAAAAGAAGGTTGAATTATCTCAGCATCTCTGAATAAAGTACAAACAACAGAAAGTCTGGAGCAGCACTGACAGCACTGAATGACAGTGCCTTGACACAACAAAAAGGATGCTGAAATACCATACCAGATGGATATGATAGATGGGTAAAGAGTGGAGGGATGGAGCTGTACAACTGTTTCCAACAGCTGTAGGATTTCACACTCAAAATCGTGGTATTGCAGGTACTGTGCAACAACTGAGCCACAGAACCCACCAAGTTAATGGCTCCACTAGCAAGAAGTACAGTGCAACAGGAGTAGATCTATGAAGAGAAATGCTTCTGAAACCAATGGTTAAACTATACCTGCTCCAGGGATTTTGCTTCAGACTAGCTACTGTTTGTTCTGATGGACTGAATGTCCATGAATGGGTAGAGCATGTTGGGTGCATTCTGGGAGCACACCTTCTGAAAGAAATCTAGTTCGTGGGCTCTGATACTGCTCTGTGAAGTAAGCAAAAGTGCAGTAAATATGCACAATCAAAAGAATTGCTTCTAAAACATACCTCAATCCAAAGCAAAATGCTGAAATTTATTTACTGCATGTGCGTTTAACCCATTTTAACTCTGAAATAAAATGCTTTAATAGAAATCCTTCAACAACCTTGACTGTAGCAATGTTGATTTGATAAGAGTCCTAAGTTCCATTCTGGGCAATGATAAATTACATTCATGAAGTAGGACAGTAAATATACAAGGAAACACACTCGTAAAGCTCCCAGCAAAGTGAGGCTCCTGTCCTTGCTGATCCTTGTACTGTCATGGTAGAAACGTTTACTCCTAATAACAAGAATATGAAAAGCAATGGAGAAAGTATACTAGGATGGTCAGAGTTAATGCTCCCCGGATCAGTCGGATTCCTGTTTCCAGATCAGTGCTAGAAATACTGATGTGAACATTTGGGAGAGGACTTTGCTGCATGTCTCACTGGTAACTAATCTTACGCACATGCGCTCTTATGGCTCCTACAATTTTCAGTGGTACGTATAAGTAAGGAAAGGGAGAACTGGAAATAAGGGAATTTGGCACACAAGAGACTACCTGAGCACTAAGGAAGAGGTGCCTAAAATGCAGGAGCACAAGCAACTTTCTTAAAAAAGAAATTATCTTGTTCTGACACAGAAGCAGAGAGAAGTAAAACCTATCACTTCATAAGGCATTAGAGAATTCCTAGAGACATCATAGTAAAAATAAAGCAAAGTAGTTCCTCAAAAAAAAAAGAAAAGCGCATGGAGTGAGATGGATTCTGTGTTTTTCATAACAAATTAGTAACAAATCCAATATCCTGTATCAAAACCCAAGAATCAACTCAGACTTTTCAGAGGAAAGCTCTGTACTACAGAAGTGCCAGGTAATGGCAGCTGATAGGTTTATGGTGAAATAAAAACTTATTTTCAGAATGCAAAGAAAAGAAACCTTAAAATGAAAGAGAAATAAAGAATAAAATACAGAGAAAATTATGATTTCATAATGGGTGAGATACTGTGTTTCATGAAAAAAAAAAACATCTTTACAAATGAGAAGAGAGATATTTGGGCAAGCATACCAATAAACAAGAGAAAAAGATCTTTTATAAAAAGATCAAAAAAACCCCAATCATAGTATGGGTCTATGAAGCACTGATTATAGCAACAACCCCAACTTTCTGAGATTGTGACAAACTGAGTCACTAGCATGGGTAGGGTAGCTTCTATATGAAATATTCAAAGTCTCGAAGGCAAAATTACCACAAAAGCTGTTAAGTACAAAAATAGCGCCCCACAAAGGATATCCTGAATAAGAGATAATGTATTGCACTGAAAACAAACGTCTGGCAAATTTAAACTTAGCCTGATATTTATTTTGAGGTTAAATGCAAAGATGATGCTATGTTGAAAGAGGTATTAAAATAAATGAAAGCAGAATATAATATTAAGCAACCTAGAGAGATTTAAAGAATAATGAGGAGCTAGTTGGGTGAGGCACAAGAATTCTATTTAGAAAGACAAGTCACTGAGTAAAAGATTTGAGGGAAGGGAAGAGAAGGAAAGAGCGATTCCATCTTATGCCTAACCTTTGCCAGCGACAACACGAGGTAAAAATTAAACCTTTTGTTCCACAAAGACTTTCCCCCTGCTCTTTTGCTTCCACGGGAGTCTTGGGCTTGAGCTAGTCTAATATTTAAACCATCAATCACCAAAGGAAATGTCGACGTTTGCATCTGAACTTATAACAAGAGGGAGTCTAGAGAATCTTACAGAGATTCCTCCTCTAAAAAAAACACCACCAGAAAAACCCAACAGGCTGTCACATGCCTTGTTATACTTCTGCCATAAAGTGTACACCACTGCCTTTCACTCGAGAGGCTTCAGAGGTCTTTTTCAGGAGAGAAGAAGTGAATGGCTGGTGGTCCCAGCCCTCCTGCTCCCAAACTTCTTCTTCAGAACCTAAGATTGTGTACTGGGAAGAAAACCCACTTAAACAGGTACTGTAAAGCCTGGAAAAGTACTAGGGGTCACTTCATGGGAAAAATGTTTAAATAGAATGATTAACTTTTCCATGATTGTTTCTGTCTGAATTTAAATTGGAACAGGAAATCTGGTAACTGAACAGAATGGCTGAAAACAACTGAGCTAGCAATAAGGTTAATTAATTTTGGTAGAGAAAAAAAAAAAGAAAGTCTGTTAACCTATGTGGATGAGATTGAGATCTTAGCTGTGAAATAGGCAAATCAGCTTTGTTGTTTGCTGCTTTATGAGATAGGAGAGATGGGAATCTGAAAGTAGGTACAGAATCTACTGAGAAGAGCAAAAACATTGACCTCAGAACACAGAAACAGGGAAATACGAAAGAAGAACAAAACAGAGGCAAAGTTATGTCCCACTGCATTGTTGCCAGCAGGAAATGAATTTATAATTTTTTATGCTTTGCGCAACTCAGGAAAGAATGCAAGATTTTAAATAGAGAACATAGTGCCAGAGAAACTGGGAAAATAAGCAGATCTATAACAGTTTGCAACAAAACTCAAGAGAGAAATTTTAATGCTGATAGCTAGCTGCCACTAGAAGCCAACTGGTCTTGGACACAGACCAGGAATAATACCCTGAGAAAAATGGCTCAAAGGCTTAGAGATATTCCTCCATACCAAACACAGCCTATTACATTCTTCAAGCTTTTTCTGAGAGATCAGTTTCAGAAGTGAAAGCTACACATTTTCAAGTGACACTGATATCTGTTAAAGAACCCAAGCCTTTCCCAGCTTTAGTAGTGTCATGTTCTGAGATGTAAGTTCAAATCCTTGAAGAATTGGCATATTTACCGGTATTACATTGTAAAATCCTAACAGCTACCTGTTTGTAAAGTAATGTTTGCTTAAAGTAATACCATAACAGATTTCTCCATTTCGAGAGACAAATTTAGTCAATTTTTTATCAAACTGGCACAAGATTTTCTCATTAATATCTAGTAATAACCATAGTGTCTTCTTACAGTGCAACTATAATACTTATAATGTTAAGATAATTTAATGCCAGAGACTTGCTGTGGGTTAATGATCCCCAAAAATAAGAAGCCTTGATAGTCAGAAAGTTTGGGTGATCTCTGAAAGACCTCATGCTATTTCTAAGGTTTGCTTTATTTTTTTTGTTTGTTAAATAAAACCCCTTTTCTCTTTCCAGAGTTAATTTTTTTTGAGTAAAATATGCATGGAGCATTACCTTGTCCTGCACAACTGCATCTCACAGAATATTCAGATTTAAAACTGTGTCTCACATACATTTTCTCATTAATGAGACTAGCAAATCTTCTATTTAATCCTCAAAATAATAAGTAAAAACAGTTTAGGAACTACAGCACAGTTTATCAGTGACACTAAAACTAATTTGTCTGGGAAGAGTGAGTCTTTTCTTCTTTCGTTCAAAAGAAAGGCTCAATTATGTCAGAAGGCCTTGCGGCCTCCTCTTTTTTTTTTGGCAGAGGGAGGGTGTCCATAACTCATAGCTTCTTTGATAAAAGTCTTAGAACCCACATAAAATGAAGATATGTGGAGAACAATTCAGAAATAGGCACATACGTAAGATGCTTGCCTTTGGAAAAAGATCTCTTTCCAGTTATTCTCTTCTTCTTGGCACTGGAAATCCTATCTTCCATTAAGATAGCCAACGCTACCAGCAAAAAAACAAAGTAAAAACTATTGGCACAGTTTCAAAGATGTTTAAAAAGCCTTTGTTGTAACAATCCAGTTGCCATTTTTTGTTCATTGGAAGTTCAGTGTCCTCCTGCTCTTTCTTCAACATACTTCTGCCCTAGAAACTCCTCTTTGATCATCTTTGCTTTTTAAAACACAATAGTCTATGCAAAACCACAGTGTACAGCAAAGAAGGAAATAAAGTATGAAGAAAGTGCCATACAAAATACAATTAGCTGGAAAATGATGCACCAGCACAAGTCCATGATACTTGAATATTCCAGTTCAAGATACAGCAGGTGTCAACAGTACCAGTCAAAATGCCAGTATGTTCAATAAATCAAGTGTAGAAAAGCCTTTCTTTTTTAGAATCCATGAGCAATAACTGTTACACTGTGTGAAACATACATTAAAAAGAGCCTTGGGCCTTTTTTCTTTACTGTTAATAAACAAGTCATTCCACCCAGAGTGTCAGCTGTATCCAGTTAGTTATTACTTGATTAGTTCACATGAAAGTGGAGAAGGAAAACATTCACAGGAATCTTGATGAACAACACTATGGGATGATTCCTACCATGTTGCTCTGAGATTGTGTGGCCCCATACATAGTAATGCCATTTGATGGTCCTGCTAATTGCGGTGTATCTGGTTGTATAAATCCTCTTCTGTCAATTAAGCTAAAGGATAATAAAAATAATTTTAAAAAGAGTTAGAGACATTTCTGGTAAATAACTACCTCCCCTCAATAAAAAGGAAAATATTTTGTGGAGAAATTAATCATCTGACCTAGCTAAAGGTACTTCTGAAACTCCAAATAGAATTTTACTCCCAATTTGAGAACTGTAAACTGCACTTAGGTTCTGGTAGTTAATATTCATTAAAAGCTGAATGTACAGACTGAAGTACTATATTCTACATGTGTCTTAGCTTGTATCACTTCCATACAAAAAATTCCCAAAACAACCAACCAAACAGCTTTTCAATCACTTATGCTTCAATTTATTAAAAGGTTTGCGTTTGTTTGTAGTTTGGTTTTTTTCTTTTAAAATTATATGTAGCTTTCAATCATAGTTCCATATATTTTTAATCATAGGCCAAAATATTTTTTTCCTGTGACCTGAATAATGCTATTTCTTGTCTGGAAAACAACAAGTTTTACCACAAGATGTCAGATTTTAACTAGAGGGCTTGTAGTTCCTGTTACCAAGACAAAACATCAAGAATGCTTTAAAACATCTGAAAGCTCAAGTCAGCACAGAACTGGTTTTATTTGCTGATTTATGTGACCTCTAAATTTGCTAAGGGTGAAGGTGGTTTCAAGTTTGAAAGATAAGAACAGGACGCATAGGAAAAAAAAGGCAGTGCTTCCTCTCTCAAAAGTCAATGTGGTTTCCACCACTGAGAGATTAGTTTAAGACTTTCCTTGCGAAAGTCTGCAGAACAGGTTTTTACGTACATTCAAAACACTTTGAAATCCACCTGAGATTACAATCTGCCATGTGGAAAGCACTCCTTCAAAAATCAGATGGTTTAAAATAGGTGTATGATTTACTGTATCAGAACACTATTTAGACCTATGCTGACAGCTATGGATCAAATTAAGACTTGAACGTTACCACTGAGGACATGTAAAATCCATTCTGAATCTAGTAGCTTAGGTTTAAAAATGAGAAACATGATCTTTAATGAAAATAAGAAACTTTTGGACTATTTACAGATCCTGTGTTAATCTGCATTCCATTCTCAGAGGCACTTGAACAGTTTGAATTTTAAGCTACAATTGCCGCTAAACACTTTACTGGAATTTAAGAAAAAAAATTTTATCTCGCGACTGAGATTAAAAGTCAAAAAAGTGAGATTATAATTTACATTTTTAAATTAGTAAATTTTTACTGTTGGTCACAAAATATCTCGCTGCAGAAACTCTACATAGACTTTGGCATCTAAATAAGTTATGTTGCTATATGGAATTTAGGCAAAAAATGTACAAAGTCTGTTAAAAACGCAGGAGCCAATGCCAGTCTGGTCTATTGTGTGCTGCTACTTGTATCAACTTAAGTGGCTATTTCAAATACTAAAACATTATGTAGCTTTAATAAAGATTTCCATGGTTTTGGCTGGGATAGAGTTATTTTCTTTATATTAGCTAGTATGGGGCTATGTTTTGGATTTGTGCTGAAAACAGTGTTGGCTTCAGGCACCATTTCCTCCTTCTCACCACAGAGATGACAGTGTTAACACACTACATAGAAATCTTAAGTCAGCTGTCCCCTCCTTAGGAAAAGATGTCAGTCTCTCCTGTTGACCCTCAACTGCTCATAGAAGAACCTCCTCTGATATTCTTAATAGCACAGACAGAAATCCCACTTCCGATGAAACAGCTTAACCACTGGACATTCACTTACTTTCTTCTCAATAGTTCAGATTCATAACTATATCATTCCAGATAAAGCAAAACAGCTTCAACTGATGAGTACGCCACAAAAATAATCTACAAGATGACAGTAACTTTCTACAGAGGAACTGGGCCTCTACTGTACATGGAGTACCGGAACTATCTAACCACTGAGAGTAAGAAGAGAATTATGTTTTTCCTGCTGCCAGTTTTATTTCTCTAGTCTCAGCTCTTTCTTATATGTTGTTCAAGCTGAAAAGCCATCTGTAACCTTGAATATGCAAATATTTTGGATTTCAAAATTGAAAATTGTATGCAGCAAACATTAATCCATTAAGCTTTCTCTGGAATTGCTTTGGTGTAAGACCACCAAATTCAGCTTAATGTATATATATGTTAACAGTAATATAAGTAAATTAAAAATACTGTCTATTCAAATAAAACAGTTCAGAGTGAAAAGACAAAAACTGACAATTATCAAACTGACTGTTAGAATTAAGGTTCCTAAACTCTCCTAAAGTAATGTCACATCTGTTAGATATGTAAGAATATAATAACCTTTCAAATTTCCCATTATGCAACAGCTAACTACTAGGGGTTTTTTTTGTTGCTATAAGTTGTTAACTATAGTGGCAAAGGCTCAAATAACAGATAAACAAGTCTATTTTCATTTCAGATGTCAACCTTAAGCATATTCTACAGGATCTGATCACTAACTTCATTTAACCACAATTCACCAGCTTATTTCTTTACTACTGAGGAAAAAACTTAAACCTTCTAATGGAGAGTAAAACAAAACTTTCTTCTGTTGAGTAAACTCAAGTAATCAGAAAGAATATTTTTTCATCAATAATTGTGTAGCTTCATTTATACTAACAACACTTTTGATACTCTTACCTTGGAGAGAGGGGCCCACAGAGTGCAGCACAGCAATTAGTAAAGATGTTGCCATAACTGTATGGATTATAGTTCTCTTTACCTCTTTTATTTGACCATGATCCTTTAATCTGAAGAGATACGAACAAGATTCATCACATATAATACAACATAGAAAATGGCTGAGACAAATTAAGAGTTGCCAAAGCAGCAACATGCTACTTACATCAGAGGCAGACCAAAGAAAACCCGTGATCACACTTTCCAAACAGCTTAGAGTTTTGAACTGTTATGAAAGGCTGGATCCTAAAATCTTACAAATAAGTACATGCTATACGTCAATAGATTTAGACAATCCTAAATATCAAAGGACCAATATACCCACAGTAGAAATTTCAGCATCTAAACGTGCTGAAATGGTCTAAGATTAATTTTACAAATATTATGGTATGTTCTACAGAAGAGGTTCAATAGCAACATACCATTAAAGCCAGCAATAAAGTACTACTTTTCCACTCTTGGGTAAGTTCATAAGCTGTGCAATACCACACAACATTATCTTCCCTAATGCCCACAAATGGCTTTAAAATATTATGAAGGAACTGCTGTCATTACTACCATTTTAGCTCACAGTAAATTTTTTTTTTCAGCCGGTCTTGCTTTTCTGTTTGTGAGATACTTGAGAGACTGAGTAAAATGCCTTACTGTATTCAACAGGAAATGTATGCTTTAAGTGAAATTACTGAACTTGAAGTTCAGACATGTTAGGCTGCTGCAGTTCCCCGCTATCTGACTTTCAACAATCCAAAAGAGACATTTATTTGAGGTAAACCCAAGTAGTGGAAGCATGCTGCACCCATCAAGTGAGACAATGTTAGCCTAAACCTAGTAACTGAGGAATATCAGCATATCTCATCTTTCTTACTAATAAGGTAGATTTCTTCAGAGTCCGGCTACTTTGTGGATACTTGATGCTGAAGTACAATTCATTCTAAGCCTGCTTGGTAAGTTCTTTCTGGTTGATTGGTAGTTATTCTAAAATTTATAATTTTAACTGTGACCTTAAACAGTAACAAAACATGTCCCAAAGAGGCTATTTTTACATTTGCCAGATACCTATGAAAAATGTTTCAATAGAAAATCGAAACAAAATAATTTTAAACTTGCAGTTTAAAATCTGTTAGATTACTTGCTAAATTCCAACAAGCTTCCTGTACCATTAGCTACCTAGCTTATTTTTATTTTCTTCTTTCATTAATTTTGTATTTTTTCTTTTAGTTATGGCAGGACACATGAAGCTTTCACACATGGTTAAATACAATTTAACACCAAAGCAACGGAAATCTATGTGCAAAATAGGATAACTGTAGAAATGAGAAAGTTGACCTTTAAATTAATGAAACACTCTATGCCAGAGGTTGTAGACCTCAGACTGGCAAAGAAATCTCAAAGGGGAAAAATAAAAAGTATGATATTTCTGTTTTGAGAACTCAACACTAAAATTTTTATAGTAAGCAATTTTTGAGTCAAGTAATATTTAGCACTTCCAGTGAAAAAGAGATACTGCAAAATATTTAGTAATCTCCTACTGTATAATAAATACTTGTTTCTCTTTCTCCTCTCTTCTGTATTTTACTATTTCAAGATACAGGTCCTGTGGGTGTAAATCCTCATGGATGCTCTATTAAACCAGCACATCTTCAAACCACAACAAATAGTGTCCGAAAGATCTCTTCTGATATTTTAAATCAAGCATGACTAGGTTACCTCCTCCCTTCCTACTGAGGCATTCACAAAATTATGCAGGCAGGCATGACTTCTCCAAGAATAACAGAGAAAAACTACATACAATTAGAATTAATCATCTCATTCTCATTACTCTTTAGAAACTTATATGTAGACATATACTATGAACTTACATCTTCATTTGTTGTTTGATTGGAGCTGATCAAATATGTGTGAAAACCTGAGAGGCCAACAATGGACCATACTGAGAAAAAACACACCACAGCTTCCAGCACAGTAATAGAAAGTCAAGGAAATACATGCAAATGGGAAAAAAAAAAGAAGAGAAAAGAAAAAAAAAGTTGTATCAAATAACAAGTAGTTACAATCACAAAATTCAGGGTAGTCAACTTACAGTCCACAAGTCCCTTGAGATCTCTGGGGTAGTTCAAAGGGGTCAGCAAAAACTGTTGTTACTGAAGTTAAGATGCTGATAGAGATCTTAACACTAGCATCAAAGTGCACTAGCCCAAGTAAAATACAAAGTCCGGTTGTTCTCTCAAGTCACTCTAATAACTGGATATAGTCTACATGGCAAGTATGGGAGTGTCTGAATGGCCCAGCCTTTGCAAATGGCCCAGACAACCACTCCTGTTCAGCCTGTGAGCGTAAACAGTTGGGGTGGGGTTGAATACTCAAAACAAGCAACATTTGCCCAAAACATATCATGTTAAAGAGGAAGACAATAAACTCCCAACTCACAGTGCTGCTATTAAACAGCTGTCCTGGTTTGAGCTAAATAGAAC